ACAAACAAATATTTATTGATTGACTGTTGGGGTCATTGATGCTTATTACTATGACTCAAAATTTACTGCACACACCATAATTCCTCCAAGACTCATTTGAAATCTAACACTTCTTCCAAATCTCTCTCTGATTGCCAGCAAATAATTGAATGTCACCTTTGCTCTATTTAATGAGGATGGATCACTCAGCTGAAATACCCTCCTGTGTCAACTCTGTATAAGAGAAAGCGCCCTACAAAGGCAAAGGTAGCCATGTCAATGTTCACAGACATCCAACAAATGTAGATTCTTAAGAAAATCCTACAAAGTCCTCAAGACCAAGCTCCTGCCTTCTCTTTTGCCCTCATTTCCTGCTCTTCCCAGTTCTCTTCAACATTTTCCCTAAGCCAATCACGTAATTCATCCCCACTGCAGCACAGACTGTTTACAACACAGCATGGCCCCTCCTGCCTCAGCCTTTCTCAATAAAATGTCCACTACCCTCCACCTCTTCTCTTGATCCATTGGTTCATTTGACGCATATTCCAGGGCACAACCTTGCATCAGGTATACCAGTGAGCCCTGGTTGTGAGTCCATAGGGGTATTTATAGTCTAAGAGGGAGACATAGATAATCACACATCTCTGTAACTATGTGCCTTCTCTGAGAATCTGGACCAGGATCTTCCATCAAATCAAAGGCAGGAGATAGAGAGAGCATCCTTGAAGATGAGTTTTGAGTTGATATCTGCAGAATAGATTGGGAGGAATGTGCTGTAGGTAGGAATACCACATGCTTTGAGACAGGAAGAAGAAGGCTCACCCAGGAAATAAATGTGAAACCTGCAATCTGGTAGTTTGTTGAGTAAAACTTTATATTCTCAAGAGCACGTGTATATACTTTGTCACATTAAAATTAGAAGCTCATGAAGCCCATGTTCCCCCACAGGTGGGACATATTCTGTTTGCATTCCCAGATCCATTGTGTCCCCTGCTCCTGCTGCAGGAGACTGACCTGGGTGCATAACATCAGCAGGCTTCTGAGCTATCTGACTTCTGTATTGGTTATTCCAGTAGGTGCTCTGACTCCAGATGAAGGAAGAGATGAGATGAGGATGGGGACAGGAGCAGGGCAGTGAGGGCCATAAGGATTGTTCTTAGGAATGCTGGTTTCCTGAGGAAAGGGAGGTAAAGTCTGCAGTGAAGTGCTCTAAATTCCTTAGGAAGAAAGTATCTATATATTTCTGTCTCCTCCTACACACACACACACACACACACACACACACACACACACACACACACTCACACACACACACACACACTTTCTCTACCTGGTTCCTTTCCTAGGAGGTTGACTTGGGCCAGACTCATCCAAACACCAAAGAGAGCTGCTTCTCCAAGCAGCTGTCCCTTCCAACTATGATCCCCTCTCCTCTATGATACATTGCGCTCCTCTGGATATAAAGGTGGTAACTACTTTGAGACTGCTAGCCTACCCCAGGATTCCTGATGATACCTGTCCTCTGTTTTTGCTACTTCTCTGTAAACAAAGCTTCTGCAAGTAAAGCTGCCACACATTTCCCTAATTTGAATGTGCTGTCTGACTCCCGTTAAGACCATACATACAGCTATCCTCCTTCACCAAAAAAGCATTCTCACCTGAACTGACCACTTCAGTAGTGACAAACTACATGTGGGTACTGAGCACCTGAAATGTGGCTCCAGTCAAGATGCACTGGAAGAGGAAGGCACACATGGCATCCAAAGACTTGGGTGAAAGGAAACAAGGGGTCCTAATCCATGTTCTGATGCAGAACGGGTGAATATAAACAATAGAAATTTATTGGGCTTATGTTTCTGGGTGCTGGGATATCTGAGGGCTTGGGGCCAGGATGATGAATACCTATGTAGGGATGTGCAGAGGCACAATATCACCTCCTAATGGAACTCCAGGTGAACTTGGAGCGTAACATTTTCCAGATGAGGAAACTAGAACATGCTGGTGAAAGTTTGTAAAATATTATGCTTTCAGCACAACTTTAAAATGGCCTCTATGGGCCGGAGAGATCGCTCAGTGGTTAAGAACACTGGCTGCTCATGCAGAGGCCCTGGGTTCAATTCTCAGCATCCACATGGCAGCTAAGAACTATCTATAACTTCAGTTCCAAGGGATATGACACCCTCTTGTGACTTCTGTGGGTATTTCATGAATAAGATTCGCTTACATACATGTAGGCAAAATATTAACACACATAAAATAAAAAAAATACATTTAAAAAAAATAATAAAATGAGGCTGGAGAGATGGCTCAGTGGTTAAGAGCACTGGCTGCTCTTGCAGAAGTTTCAGTTCTCAGCACCTGTATGACTGCTAACAATTGTCCTTAAGTCTGGATCCAGGGGATCCAATTCTAGTCAACACCCTGTTCTGGCCTTTTTGAGCACATGATGCACTCACATAGACGCAGGCAAAAAACTCATACACATAAATAAAAATCTTTTAAAAAATAATAAAATTGGCCTCTGTTTTTGCTGTCTCTCTTCTACAAATCAGAATGAAATATCTAGAAGAAAATTCAGAGATACATTAAACCTTAAGTCAGTATTAAACTTCAAAGTAGCTGGGCATGGTGGTGAATGCCCAGTACTGGGGAGGCAGAAGCAGGCAGATCTCTGTGAGTTTGAGACCAGCCTGGTCTATATAGTGAGTTTCAGGCTAGCCAGGGCTGTATAGTGAGACCCTGTCTCAAACAAACAAACAAACAAACAAACAAACAAACACAAAAACCAACTTTAAAGTGGTTTGTCAATATCCAGTTTTCAGACACGAGAGGGCATGGAAACTTGGCAAGGCTTGCTGCTTATCCTGGGAAAAGACCAGAGCTTTCTGCCCTCAAAGTCTAATTAGTTTCTCATTGGTTGTAGAATCAGCTGGGATTAGTAATTTATGAACACCAAACTTTACCCAGCTGAGTTTCTTAACACACTCTTGTTCTATCCAAGCAGACTTAGAATCACTAGGTTTCCTTTGGAAGCTGCAACAACCCTTCCCTAACTTTTACATCCCTAGTCAAACACGGTACAAGCAGGAAGAGGACAGAAAATTTCCCAAGACTCAACACTGGGCAGCTGGAATTCCCAGTGAGTTTCCTGAGACCTAGTCATTGTGCCTGCTGGGCACTTGTTAGCAGGGCAGGGGGCCCAGAAAATGTTCTCTCCAACATGCAGGGATTGGGATGAAGTGGCCAGGACACCTTCCGTATTGCCAGGCATCTTGAGGAGACAGCTCAGGAATAAGAAACCAGTAAGACCAACAATGGCGAAAACCTCATGCAGTTTCCATGGGCCACATCCTCAGGAGCCAGCAGGGCCAAGTGTAACCCTTTGTGACCCGCTCTTGGAGCTCAGGAAGAGGATATAGGGTCAGGAGAGGTCGGAGAAAGGAAGCTGTTGTTTATGAAAGCGCCTTATAATCATTAAACTTTATCAAAAACTAGGCATATGGATTTGGAACTGGAGCTAAACTTTTTACATTTTAATCCCTGCCTTTGATTTATTTATTGATCCATTTCCTAAGGAGTTGTTTCTTTCTAGGTCCTGGGTGACTCTTGATCCTTTAAAATAAGCAGAGGGAAAATTCAAAAGAAGGGGGAAGAAAAGGCTTCACTCTAGGGCCCTCAGCGGACAGTGGGGTAGGTAGAAGTCAAAGCCCACAGGAAGACAAATGGGGGCGTGGCCTGCAACCAGCCGCTCCCAGGAACTCCAGCAATCAAACTTCCAAAGGCTGAGAGCCCGAGGGAATGAAAATGGAAGGAGGTGGGCTGGAGCCGGGTGAGGATGTGGAAGCTGGGACAGGAGGGAAGCAGAGAGCGGGGGCCTGGGGGCGGGCGGGGGCGTCAAGACCTCTAAGGGCTAGGCTGAACTGGAGCGGTTCCGGAGCCCTTAAACCAGAGAGAGCTGGAGGGGTGGAAGTCAATTCCTGGGGATCCGAGTGGCCCTTATCTGTCAGTCAGACTTTCCGGGAGCCGCTGCAACCCCTCGCAAATCCAACTGCCCGGCGATCGGGAGGGAGGGACCAACCGTGGAGAAGGGGCGTCGCCTCTGCCGCCCCCGCCCTCTCCAGTGCCATTGGGTCGACACTGCACTGCCTCGCCACCTTTTTTCGGCCCCACCCCTAGGGCCCCGGTGGCCCGGCCCCTGCTCCCCTGCTCCGCGTCCCGCCGTGAGGTCCTGGGGTTGGACGAGTCCCGGCCGTTGACGTCACCGCCAAGTTTGCTGCCCCCGGCGTCCCACGTGTGGCGGCCGCGGGGGAGAAGGCGGGGAGCGCCCAGCAGCACAGTGGCCTCGGCCGCTGACAGGTCCGCTGCAGTGGGACCCCGCGCGCGGCTCCTAGAGGGAACCCGAGAGTAGTGAGGTGGCTTCTTCCAACACCCCGAGAGGTCCGGAAGACCCGGGGATCTCACTCGGACAGAGGGACTAAGGGGACTTTGCTCCGGGCTGAGAAGATTTGAGCCCCGACCCCAGATCGCGCGCCTAAGCGGCCCAAGAGCGCAGAGGACGCAGGGGCTGGGGACACGCGCTCGCCGGTGTCCAGAGCGCAAGCAGCGCCTCTTCCCTTCCGTGGCGGACCCAGTCCGGGATGCAGGATCGCTGAGCGGAGATCCGCACCGCCCGGCCGCTCCAGACCCGGCTGAGCCGCGCGCCAGCGCCACCGCCGCCAACACCCCTCATCCGGCGATTCTCGGGGACCCAGGGTGCCTCGTCAGCTCAGCTAGTCTCAGCCCCGAGAGGATGGTTTCTTAAGCACAATCCCTCACCCCCTTCCTGCTGGGTCACCCGGAGCTCGAGATCCTGCGCTGGGCTCGGTCCCGGCACTAGATCTGGCTGCCTACGGGTCAGCTGTCGCCCGCGTACAGGCGATGTGGCCTCCGGGAGGCGCGCAGGCCGGCGGGGATGGCAGGGCACCCGGCAGAGTCCCGGCCTAGCATGGCCCGCGCGCTGCCCGACGTCGCCTCCGGCTAGGATGGCCTCTCGGGGCCCGGCCGGCTCCCACCCCATCTCTGCCGAGCCGCTGTCGCGCAGCATCTTCCGGAAGTTCTTGCTGATGCTCTGCTCGCTGCTCACGGCCCTCTACGTCTTCTACTGCCTGGCGGAGCGCTGCCAGCCGCTGTCGGGGCCCGTCGTGGGGCCGTCGGGAGGCGGCGAGGGGGCGGGGGTCCCGGGTCTCCGTGTCCCGCCTGGACCCCGGGAGTTGGCCCTGTGGCCCGCGGCGGCGCAGAGGAAGCGCCTCCTGCAACTGCGGCAGCGACGGAGGGTCTGGCCGCCCCGGCCCAGGGAAGGCAGCTACGAAGAACCCGACACCCCGGGGCTGGTCGTGGGTCCCGGCGGCTCCGGGGCTGGGAGCAGCGTGGCCGAAGCTCCCCCAGGGACCCTGGCCTTACTCTTGGACGAAGGCAGCAAGCAGCTGCCTCAGGCCATCATCATTGGCGTGAAGAAGGGAGGCACGCGGGCGCTGCTGGAGTTCCTGCGGGTGCACCCCGACGTGCGCGCGGTGGGCGCCGAACCCCACTTCTTTGATCGCAGCTACCACAAGGGCCTTGCCTGGTACAGGTGAGCGCGGGGATGGGATGGGGACAGTCAGAGAGCAGGGGGAGGCTGAAGGGACGGCCAAGGGTCAGCTGTGGCAGTCCCCAAGTTGGGGTGTTCATTCTCCACTGTGCCTTCTCCTTTCGGGAGAGGGCATGTTGAGAGGGGGAAGGAGGAGGAAGGAAATTTTTTTCTAGATTTTAGTTCTTGGAATGCCCTTTCCCCCAAATAGATAATCCTTCCTCCTGTTCCTTAAGTTGTACCAGTATTTGGATAAAAGAAAAGAAAAAGTAGGAAGGGAAGAATTCCCTTGTAAGTCAGAAACCTGTTCCTCATTATTAGGCTCTCTCTCTCAAAGCAGCCAGCTTCTATTTCTTTATCTTTTGGGCAATTCCCTGTGGTTAACATAAATCTTTGCTTAGGTGTTTATTTACCTTGACCCTTTGCAGGATAGTTGTCCAAAGTGGTAAGTAATATAGAGATTTAGTAAAAGTGTCAAATGCTAGAGTTCTGTAGTTTGTAGTTTGGATATCCATGTCCCAGTAGGTGCTAGCAACCGGTGGTCACTGGATGTTAAAGAAGCTTCCTCGGTAATAACTTTTGTTTGCGTCAAGGAATGAGTTTGGGAAAGTACTTTTAATATGTACAGGGAAAAGTAACTTTTGTCTCTGGACTGATAAACTTTCTAAAAGTCTTTGAGCAATATTTCTTTACAAATAAGGTAGCTAATTAAAAAGAAGAAGGAAGGCAAAAAGAATGCATCGAGAAAAACGCTGTGGATATGATTTAGGAAGTAAGTTTTATTTAGAGGGTAAGTTTACATTTGCCAATTTCAAATTCAGATCTCCTTTAATAGTAGGATTAGTTAAACTCTAATACATTCTAGTGTGGCCTGGATTTGGTTTGCTGTAAAAAAAATATTGATTTTTTTTCCTTTCCCCAAATTCAAGGAAAAAAAACCATATAGTTAAAATGTTCCATTTTATAAAATTTAGCTTCTTCATAAAATATTCATTCTCATTTTAACTGAAACAATATTATAAAAGTTACACCACCATTTGGATATTCTGCAAAAACTCACTGAAGGAGTCATTCATAAAACAGAGATGGGCATGATTTGACAAGTTTATTTACTTGAAGGGTCAAGAACACCCTCAGATTGTTTTCAGGAGCTTAATTTATAGTTTGGCCTTAAAAATCAAATTCAAGCATTAAACACTTCTGAAACAGTAACTTTCCATTTGTTAGAAAGAAAAACAAACAACCTTCCCCTGATACAGAATATATATCATTTAAAGTCATCACCCACTTAAAACATCCCTTGTGTTTCTGTCATTTATGTTATATCCTCTGGGAAGTTCTTATAAAAATGACCTGTTGAATCTGGAAACAACAAGTCCTTCTTTTTAGCACAAAGGCAGCTCTGTTTTTTTCATCAAGGACACAAGAAAGAGTGATTAAAGACCCTTAAAACTCTTATCTATAGCAGCTTGCATTGAATTCAGCCTCATACAGTGCTGGAAGGGACACATTTCAAGCCATCAGTCTAAATATCTAGAGCAACCCTGTGCTCTGAGGTACTATTAAATATGGTGAAATATTTAGTATTAAACCCCTTTCTTTTCATTTTGCACTATAAACTTTATTTGCACAAGGTAGGCTTGTTTCTTCTTATTCCAGTAATGGATATTTGAGGGCATGGTACATCTACAGACCTGGATCTTATTTTCTGAGGGACTTTCTGAAATCATGTAAAAGCAGGAAGGTTTGAAGGTAACTAGAAACACAACTACTTAAAAAACAAAAAAGGTTGGGAGAGAGTTATAAACTTTGAGGCCGCTCTCTCCTTTGGAAACTGGATGCATGCTATAAAGTAAATCTCTTTGGATTGTTTACTCCGGCAGAGGAATTCTACAAAGCAATTTATGGTGGTTACAAAAATAACTGCACAGTAGACTTCATGGTTTGGTGAATTTAATTTTCCAAGTGTTGGAGCGATGTCTTTGTTTTACTGTTTGTAATGTTTTTATTGAATGCATAAATTTAAGCTAACTCAATTACCTAGAAAACTCTTATTTAAAAAATCCAACCTATGGAGCTGGATTACAGGATTATTTAATGAAATTTCTCCACAGTCCTTTTTTATCTTGACTCTGAACTTGGAGTTTGATGCTTGTGAGGAAGACTGAAGATTTAACTCTCTGTATAAGAAAATCTCACACAAGCTATTGTGAATTTTAACTACTTATATTTAGTTAATATTCCGAATAGGGGTCTGGTTAGACTTTCCTGGGTTGCCCCAAATTTAGTGTAGGATTTCTGCCACATACTTAGGATCAGAGAGAAAGAGAGAAAGAGAGAGAGAGAGAACCCAAATACATATATACATACACACACACATATATATATATCCCTGAAGAAAATTATGGAAGAGAAAACTCTGTATCATATTTTAAGGTGCTTATTGACATAGGAGAATAAAAAAATGGCTAACCTTATTATATTTTTTCCCTTGTTCAGCGACTGTTGTCCTAACAGTTTGCTGTGGCAGTGCCCCCTACCGTCCTCACAAAGGGAGAAATCTGTTGCTGTTAGAAGTTTGAAGAAATCTCTTGATGAATGAGTTTGAGAGTTAGAAACGTCTGTTGTTAAGATTTTTCTATATATTTCCATCACCAGAAAGAAGCTATCTCATAGAATATGTCTCCAGCAACAAATCCCTCTTTTGAATAAACTTACAGTGAAGACAAAGAAAATGAATTAGCTATCCAAAATCTCTAAACAGGACAGTACTCTGACTGATTTGAAGCGTTTTAATATTCTTAACAAATCTCCAAGCAATTTTTATATGATACGAGGCATGTTCATAACAATTCAGGAAACTTCAGTGTAGTTTTCTGGGTATGAAGCTCCACGCTGTCGAGGTTTGAAAAGCATTCCTCATTACTTAATTTAGCAGACACGATATCAGTACAACAAATGTCTGTGGCTTGCATGTCATGGGAAAGCAATCCTCCGCTGTACGGCCTCCATTTGCATTGTATGTGTGGTGAGTTCATAAAGGAAACTGGAAAACTGTTTCACTAGCTTCAAAGTGTCCAGATCTCTACTGGAAGGCCCAACCAGCTTTTTATTTCAAGAGCAGTGAGCTTAGAATTGAATGAGAAGGGCCACCTCTCTGCTTATTTATCATAATTGAACCAACCAAAAGATACGTTGGTTTTTTTCTACAAGTACAAAAGACACCTACTTGTAAGGTAAATAAATTACATATGTATATGTATATATACAGTCATCCCTTGGTATCTGTGTAGGATTGGTCCCATCCCCCCCATAGCTGTCAAACTTCTCAGATGGCCAAAACCCTTATGTAAAATTGTACAATATTTGCACCTAACCTAAAACATGCACCTGTATACTTTAAATAATTTATAGGTTACTTATAATATACAATGTAAATGCTATGTAAAGAGTTGTTATTCTCTTTTGCATAGGGAATAACAGCAGAGGAAAAAGTCTGTACATATTTAGTGCAGATGTGACTTTTTTCTGAATGTTTTTGATCCACAATTGGTTGAGTCTGTGTGTGCAGAACCTGCAGAAAACAAGGACCTACCATGTGTCTATCTATCTATCTATCTATCTATCTATCTATCTATCTATCTATCTATGTATCTATCTATCAATCATCTATCATCTATCTATCTATATCTATCTATCTATCATCTATCCATCTATCAATCTATCTACCTATCATCTATTTATCTCTATCTATCATCATCTATCATCTGTCTATTATCTATCTATCTATCTATCTATCTATCTATATTTATCAACTATCTATCATCCACCTACCTATCAACTATCTATCTATCTATCTATCTATCTATCTATCTATCTATCATCTATCCATCTATCTATCCATCTATCTACCTATCTTCCTAGCTGGCTAGCTAGCTACCTATCTGTCATTTACCCATCCATCTATCTCTATCATCTATCCATCTACTTGTCTGTCTGTCAGTTCTAGTTTCTTATTTTGGCATAAGATAGGAAGCATTCACTAGTCAGTCTTTTGTTCTAACGTCCTACATTTTAGTTCCCTTACTTTAGTGAGTCTGGGCCATTTCAGCACAGACGACTGTTACTTTATAGCATACAGAAGATCAAAGATTATTTAGCTTGGTTTGGAGTTGGTACTCCCCTGATTCATCAAAATTTGAAATTTTATGACCACAAATGATCATGGCCTTGTTTTTCAAGAATACTGATCAGGCGACTTGAGTGGAGGCACTTTTGGTTCGTAGGAGAATTCAGCATTTTGTGGCAGCTGGGAACAGCTGCAGAGTACCTCCGTGAGCCATTTCCCACCCTCCTGCACCACCATCTCCTTCTGCAGGAAAAGTTTGAAATTTGAGCCAATGGAACTGCAGAGCCTGGCCACCCATGCAAGGTCATATGAACTGATGTCCAAAGTCTGTCCTTGAGCAAGCAAAGAATAAAGGGTGAGGTGGACCCTGAGCCTAGAATCCGTGTCTGTGGACGAAGAGGGAGGTATTTCTTCCATAGCTCAAATTCCCAGGAGCTCTGGGTGACTGGATACTTCCCACCTGGAAAGTTTAAGGCACCAAAATTCTATCATTTGGCTTGCTTGTGAATGTCTGAATTCTAGGCCTATCCCTTGTAGATGGTACTGGCAAGGCAAATGATTAGTCCTCGTGTGTGTGTGTGTGTGTGTGTGTGTGTGTGTGTGTGTGTGTGTGGAAGATGTCACACAGTATGTGGGCATGGGATGGAATTTGTTTGAGAAACATTATTAGATGGTTGGACTTCTCAGCCATGCTGGGTGTAGAAACAACAGTGCTTCTTGGAGTTTCCTGGATTAGAACTGAAATACTTCGTGTCTACATTCCCTCATCATGCTGAGGTTTATGGTGCTGATGTCCTTTGTGTGAGAATGCACAGACAATCTGTGTGGAAATCCACCACAGCATTGTGATCTCCTGCCCTCCCCTTAAAAAGAA